GTAACTCAGTACATCTAAAAACTGTTCTAAAAGAAAAGGTTTATTGAAGAAGATGTGTAGGACATTTTCTTTTTCATTCGTATGAATTTTAGTGATATTCAAGTGCTCTATTTCTCATGAAAATCTGAAAAATGTCTATGTTATTTGTCCATTCTTTTGATAAACTGAGTCAGTAATAAAGCTTTGGATCAGTTTGAAAATATTATTTATTCCCAAGATTCTTATTTAATATTGTACAGAAATTAAATGTCAAAGATCTCCCATTCCCACATGATACCACACTCCTCGGTTTCTCTCAGATCTGTTGTGGCTGTAGCAACAAGTGTGAAAATGCTTATTGCTTTAGGAGTCTGCCATGAGTTCATAGCTCAAAGAATCAGTACCTCTGCTACTTGATTTTGGAAGCAGTATTGACCAAATCTTGCTGAATTTTATCAGGATTCTCTGATTCATAAAGGCTCTTAACTCTTCCTAAAGTTCTTGATGGTACACATTCTGCTTTGTTCTAAAAAAAAAAAAAAAAAAAAAAGACCAGCTTGCTGTGATGTATTTGAATATGAAAGGGACCTATTCTGGAGGTAACTCGTATTTACCCTTCTCAGTTTTTCCTTTGGAATCATTTTATAGATTGCAGCTTTTGTTTCTAGGGCTCTCTGCTTGACAGGACAGATGATATCCCTGGAAAATAGTTTCAGATTTAGTGTTTGGTGATTGCATTATTTAAGGCTCATATAAATTGAGAACTGGTTTACATTGCCTCTCTCTATGTAGGATAAAAGATTCTGTTCTTAGAGTCACCCATCCTCTTTCTTGTAGACAAAACAGCTAGGAAAACTTCTCAGACTAATTTTGTTATGGGAAGAACTAAGATGCCTTAGGAATAATTTAGCAATCGCTTGTCCAAATTAAAGCAGCGTTGAACTTTAGAATGGAAAAAAAAGAAATTATCATGTTAGCTAAACATTCGCTATCTGGATCTCCCAATTAAAAAGTGGCATAATACTTCTAAAGTGAGCCAGTGTAGAGCATGTTCTACATTCGGTTGTGAAAATCGCTGATAGCTATCATCAAGTATGATTTTTAAAAAATGTTCCATGCCTGATATTTTGTAATTGTTGAATTCAGGTATCTGTTTACTTGGTGGCTTTAACTTCATAATGAAAAAGTATTTTGTTGTAATATATAAAATTGTGGAGATAGATGGAATTAATAGAGAAATTAAAGTTTTTCTTTTAAGATAATTTGAGTTTCATCATAGAAGATAAGCTCAGAATGCTGAAATGCTCCTGGAATAAATGAACCGTTTTACTTTTTTCCTAAAGATATCGATGTATGTAACTTTGAATTCAGAGATGATTGCATTTGCATATTCTGAATGATGAAGTGAAAGAAGTAAAAGACAGTAATAAAGAAGAGAAAGAAAGAACTTATACACTGCTGGTGGGAGTGTAAATTATTAGTTCAGCCATTGTAAAAAGCAGTGTGGAAATTACTTGAAGAATTAAATACAGAACTACCATTTGACCCAGCAATCCCGTTATTGGATATAAGGAATATAAATCATTCTACCATAAAGATACATGCACGCAGATGTTCACTGCAGCACTATTCACAGGAGCAAAGACATGGAATCAACCTAAATGCCCATCAATGGTAGACTGGATAAAGAAAATGTGGTACATATATGCCATGAAATACTATGCAACCATAAAAAAGAATGAGATTGTGTCCTTTGCAGGGACATGGATGGAGCTGGAGGCCATTAGGAAACTAACACAGAAACAGAAAACCAAATACCACATTTTGTCACTTATAAGTGGGAGCAAAATGATGAGAACACATGAACACGTAGAGGGGAACAACAGACACTGGGGGCCTATCAGAGGGTACAGAGTGGGAGGAGGGAGAGGATCAGGAAAAATAACTAATGAATACTAGACTTAACACCTGGGTGACAAAATAATCTGAAAAACAAACCCACAGATTTACCTGTATACAAGCCTACACATGTACCCTTGAACTTAAAATTTTTAAAAAAGGAAAAAGTAAAAGATTTTTTTTTAATGTAACTGCCCAATTTCACATTTGTTTAGAGATTTTTCTAAGTAACTTTCTTTTTTTTTTTTTTTTGAGACGGAGTTTCACTCATGTTACCCAGGCTGGAGTGCAATGGCGCGATCTCGGCTCACCGCAACCTCCGCCTCCTGGGTTCAGGCAATTCTCCTGCCTCAGCCTCCTGAGTAGCTAGGATTACAGGCACGCACCACCATGCCCAGCTAATTTTTTGTATTTTTAGTAGAGACGGGGTTTCACCATGTTGACCAGGATGGTCTCGATCTCTTGACCTCGTGATCCACCCACCTCAGCCTCCCAAAGTGCTGGGATTACAGGCTTGAGCCACCGTGCCCGGCAGTAACTTTCTTTTCACTGTAATCTCCTTAAATATGTACATACAGTTTTCATTGGATTCATTGAAATCCAATCCAGCAGGATTCTTTCCTAAATAAGAAACATGCTAGATCAGTCCTGGCTTATTTTACGATTTTTGGTACTTGTCACCTATAAAGAGAAGTTAAGGGGACATACCACCAACCCCACAGAAATACAAAAATACCATCGGAAACTAGTATGAACACCTTTGTGAACCCAAATTAGAAAACTTAAGAACAGATAAATTTCTGAAAACATGCAACCTCCCAAGACTGAACCAGGAAGAAATTCATACCCTGAACAGTTCAATAACAAGTTCTGAAATTGAGTCAGTAGCAAAAAGCCTGCCATCCAGAAAAGGCCCAGGACCAGACAGCCAAATTCTGCCACACATACAAGAAGACCATTCCTACTGAAACTGTTCCAAAAAAATTGAGGAGAGACTCCTCCCTAACTCATTCTGTGAGGGCAACATCCCTCTGATACCAAAACCTGCCAAAACACAAGAAAAAAAGAAAACATCAGGCCAATATCCTTGATGAACACAGATGCAAAAGTCCTCGACAGAATAATAGCAAGCCAAATCCGTCAGCATATCAAAAAGCTAAAAGGCATCCAAATAAGAAGGAAGTCAAACTACCTCTCTTTTTGGGCAAGATGATCCTACACCTTGAAAATCCCATAGTCCCTACCCGAAAGCTCCTAGATCTGACAAACAACTTCAGCAAAGTTTCATGCTACAAAATCAATGTACAAAAATCAGTAGCATTTCTATACATCAATTTCTATACATCAATAACGTCCAAGGTGAGAGCTCGATCAGGAATGCAATCCTAGTCACAATTGCCACAAAAAGAATAAAATATCTAAGAATACTGCTATCTAGGGAGGTGCAAAATCTCTACAAGGAGAATTATAAAACACTGCTGAAAGAAATCGGAGATGACACAAACAAATGGAAAAACACTCCAGGCTCATGGGTAGGAAAAATCAATATTGTTCAAATGGCCATACTGCCCAAAGCAATTTACAGATTCCGTGCTATTCCCTGATATCAAACTACCAATGACAGGAAAAAAAAAACTGATTTAACATTCATATGGAATCAGAAAAGAGCCTGAATAGCCAAAGCAATCCTAAGCAAAAAGAACAAAGGGGGAGACTTTGCATTACCCAAATTCAAACTATACAAGGCTACACTAACCATGGTATGGGCACCAAACACCATGGAACCAGTACCATGTACCACCATACCAAACAGCATGGTACTGGTACAAAACACATAGACCAGTGGTACAGAATGGGGAATCCAGAAATAAAGTCATACACCTACAACTTTCTAATCTCTGACAAAGCTGACAAAAAAACAAGCTGGGGGAAGGAGTCCCTAGTCAATAAATTGTGCTGGGATAACTGGCTAGCTATATGCGGGAGATTGAAACTGGACCTCTCCCTTTCCCTGTACATAAAAATTAAGTCAAGATGGGTAAAAGACTTAAATGTAAAACCTAAAACCATAAAAACCCTAGAAGAAAACCTAGGAAATACTATAGGACATAGGCTCTGAAAAAGATTGCATGATGAAGACGCCAAAAGCAGTTGCAACACAAACAAAAATTGGCAACTAGAATCTCATTAAAGAGCTACTGCACAGCGAAAGAAACTATCAACAGAGTAAATAGACAACCAACAGAATGGGAGAAAATATTTGCAAGCCATGAAAGGCCTAATATCCAGAAACTATAAGGAACTTAAACAAATAACAAGCAAAAAGCAACCTTATTAAAAAGGCAAAGGACATGAGAGACTCTTTTCAAAAGACGTATACACAGTCAACAAGTATGAAACATCACTAATCCTGAAAGAAATGCAAATCAAAACCACAGTGACATGCCATCAGAATAAGATAACAGTCAGAATGCTGTTATTAAAAAGTCAAAAAATAGCATGATGGTGAGGCTGCAGAGAAAAGGGAGCATTTATACATTGCCAGTGGAAATGTAAATTAGTTCAACCACTGGAAAGTAGTTCAGCAGTTTCTCAAAGAACTTAAAAGAGAGCTACTATTTGACCCAGCAATCCCATTATTGGGTATATAACCAAAGGAATATAAATCATTCTGCTATAAAGACACATGCACTCATATGTTCACCACAGCACTATTTACAATAGCAAAGACATGGAATCAACCTAGTTGCCCATCAGTGGTAGACTGGAAAAAGAAAATGTGGTACATATATATTATGGAATAGTATGTAGCCTTTAAAAAAATGAGAACATGTCCTTTGCAGCAGCATATAAGTGGGAGGTAAACATTGAGTACATATGGATGCAAATAAGAGAGTAATAGACACCAGGGCCTACTTGAGGGTGAAAGGTGGGAGGAGGGTGAAGATCAAAAAACTACACATCAGTTACTATGCTTATTACTTGGGGTGTATACTAAACCCCCATGGCACACAATTTATAAAACAAACCTGCACATGTACCACTGAGACTAATAGCTAAAAGAAAGAGAGAGGTTGACCTCTCTATATAGCTTAGCTTTACTTTCTCTTTCTCCCTGACAGAATCCCAAGGACTGCAGCAAAGCCAAGAAGCTGGTGTGTAATATCAACAAAGGTTGTGGCTATGGCTGTCAACTCCATCATGTGGTCTACTGCTTCATGATTGCATATGGCACCCAGCGAACACTCATCTTAGAATCTCAGAATTGGCGTTATGCTACTGGTGGATGGGAGACTGTGTTTAGGCCTGTAAGTGAGACATGCACAGACAGATCTGGCATCTCCACCGGACACTGGTCAGGTAAGGAACCTGTGCAGCATGTGAGATCTCTGGGATGATTCACTTCATTACCAAATCATTAGATTTCTAGGTAGACCTTCATGGAACATACTTGTCTTTTCCTCTGGATCTGTGAATACTACACATTTTCCAGATAAAATCTAGAACAGTATCTTATTTTTAAAGTATTTATTAGGTAATTCATTTCTGATGCTTGGTTTTATGTGAATTTAGCAAAATCACTGAGTTTTTTTCAGGGAGCATAATTTAATCTTTTAATAATAATGCTATGTCTTTCACTCTGTAGGATGCTTTCACGTTATTGAACTCATTTTAATATGAAATAATCATCATATAAAGTAATTCAGTGATTCTCAAACTGGATAAATAATCATTAGGATGCATGAGAATCACCTGGAAGACTTCATAAAACACCATTTTCTGATAAGGAAGGTCTGGGATGCAGCCTGAGAGTTTTAATTTATGACAAAAGTTTTAGGTGTAGGGACCATAATGCTTTGAGAACCACAGAGGTGGACCTTGCTGGTAACTTCATCTTCATTTTGCAGTCGAGGACAATGAAGCCTAATTTGTTTATGTGTTTTTAATTGTATTCAGGGAACATTTAATGAATAGTAATGTGACTAAGGTACTATATTAGGTATTACAAGCAGATAGAAAGATCAGTAAGAAATTTCCTTCCTTGACAAGGAAGTGGTGATGGAGTAAAATACAGAAAAGAGTTTCTTATTGCTAGCCTAGTGCTTTTCTTTGTACAATCATGATCTTTAAATAAGAACTAAAGTTGGGCTACCTTGTTAAAATTGTGACTTGTTTTGTAATCTCGGACAAGTTACTTAAGCTAGGTCTTAGTTTCCTTATCAGTAAAATGAAGAGTAATAACTTACTTTATTGAATTGTTGGTAGATTAAATGAAGTAATATATGTGATGCACTTAGTATCTGATATATGAACTCATATCTAGTAATCTTTAGCTACTATGAATAGCCTTTATTCATTAAACAAATGTATAATGAGTGCCTACAGTGTGGTAGATACTGAATTAAGTGATCAGGATAAATGCTAAGCAAGACAGACAGTACACATTCTGTACATTCACATCTTGTGGGAAGTCCAACATTTTTAAAAACCTGAGGCATTTCAGTTAGTATCATTTATCATGGGGCTAAACATCTTTTTTCTACAAGCTACAATACTAGATATGAAATAGGAAGCTATGACATCAGCAAAGTAACTTTGGTTCCTTCATTTCTTTTGCCTCCTTTGAAAAAAAAATATAGGTAGTATCTGACTCTTTGCAGAAGTGTCATGAAATTTAATTGAGTACTTTCAATAAAATACTTTGAATTGCTCTGCAAAAGGTCCTATATAGATTAAATGTATTATCTTGTGATTTTTGTCTTCTATAGGGTGATACAGAGCCATGTTTTATATATCAACATATTTTTTCATTTTTAACTCACTTCAAATTTTAAGGTGAACCTCTTTATCTAGAACCTAGTTAAGCTTTAGTTTTAAGGTTATATCTTCTGCTGATCTGGTCTGTACTTTTCATAACTAGTGCCAAAAGATTAGTTATAAAGGTTAGGAAGATATTAAATTTGTCATTCAGAAAAAGTAACTCTACGAGCCCCACTACAACTAACTTTTTTTATTTCATGGACTTAGTTCAATTTAAACTTCTTTGATTGTGGAAATATATAGCCAGGGCCAAACTATGTTTCTCTGGTTCTGGGGGGAGACAACTTTTTGGGTGGTAGTCAGAAAAGTGAAAAGTTACCAGATTTATCAGGTTTAATATATAGTTTAGTCCTGCCTGTGTGCTACAAGTGGTTATTTGTTTTGTTTGATATTTAATCCTTACTTGTATGTTTTGAGGTCCGTAGTGGCAACCACAGGGTATGAAAATATAAAATGGCTTGAATTTCAAACATTCAGAATTTCTTAATGTTACAACTTAAGAGAATGTAGAAATCATCCTTTCTTTATTCATCTGGAATCAATGGGTTAGTAAAAGCTAAATGGTTTATCCAGGGTCATACAACTTATAAATGCCAGAACTCTGGTTAGCACATTCACTTCTGCATACCCCCAATCTAAGTCCTTATCAATAAACTCATGCCGACCACCTTACCTAGCAAAATGATGATTAGAGGCATAGAAACTGCCTGGAATATCTAGGAATTAAATAATTTTAATAATTTGGATACCAATCTTATATCTGAGAAGAGATTTCTTTTAAACTTAGAATATTTTTTGTTTTTATGAAGAGGATGGCCGCCATCAATTTCTGTTAGCTTATTTACATTATATATGTACCCTTTAAAGAAACTGTTGAACATATTTCCAAGAATTAGAGGAACTTAGTGAATTCTAATAAAATTCTTGACAGTAGTCCTTCAGTTAGTCATAAATCAACTATATCTGTTGTCATTGAGTTGTGCAAAGAATCTTGGGTTATTTCCTTTGTCACCATTACTGTGAAATTATTATTGTTCATACACACTTGACATGATGTCCTTGCAGATGGAATTTAGTAATTCTTGTTCAAGTGTGTCCACCAGTGCAGGAATTAGTATGTACATAGATCATTTCATAGCTACATCATACCGTATTATAGATTGATGTCTGTTTTTCTTCTGCATTATTTTATGTTTGTATATGAAGAAACTATATCCTTTGTAGCAAGTGAAATGGTTAAGTGAAGAAAAATACTAAAGATGATGCTTCCAGTAAAAAGTAATCAAAATGTTTCCCATCACCTGTACATGCCATGTCTATTCCTAATAGTTTACGTGTCCTAAGGTTGATGATGAAATGATCAATTTACTTTTTTACACCACAAGATGTTTCCTAAACCTGAACTAACTACACAACGTAGACCCGATTCTTCCACATGGATTCCTTGTGATAATTCAATGAATAGATGATCTAGTGATAGAGAATGCATTTTGTTGGAAAATTTTAAGAAACAGCATTCTATGAGTCGTTTTAGCTGTCTCTTGACAGAGACTTCATGTGGCATCAAGGCCTACATCTTCTAGGTTATTTATACAGTGCCAAGCATTTGACCAGAGCACATTAAATGTAATACAAGAGATAAAAACCTATCTCCCCCATGTCCCCATCCCAATTTCAAAACATTACCCTTCAGCAACGGTGGGGGACTTAGTTACTGAGTTAAGATTTTGTTTTTGAAAAAATAGTCTATTGCTAAGAATGAATCTTTTTAGCAATTTATTCTTCCCTTTTTAGAAAAGGTTCTGGAAGAATGAGTTCAGAGATAAAAAGAGGTGTGATTTAGGAAAAAGCAATACATAATTAGCATTAACGTCCCTGTGGAGGGCAAATCATTTCATTGGAAAAGTTTCTGGAAAATCCCCTAAAGTCTATTTGGAGCCTATCTAAGATTGTTAGACCTAGAGATAGAATCCAGGTGTTCTTAATTTCCTGTGGGATGTCTGGGCCACATAGCCTTGATAACCATTCAGAAATTATCAGTGTTTTTATAAATACTGATATACCTATCAGGATATATGTATTTCACAAAGATTTGGTATAAATTAAATTATTACAAATTGAGTCGTGTCTTAAACATTCTAGTGGAGCTAGATTACAAAGTAAATAACCTTTTTTCTAACATGAGCTAGTAGTCTCCTGATTCACTCCCCACCCTTTCTTTTTTCTTCCTTCCCTCCTTCCCTTCCTTTCTTCCTTTTTTAAGTGTTTGAGTTTTTCTGTTTTCCTTAGACATGTATGTGAGTCTTTGAGTCTCAGTCACCTTCAACTCAAACATCAAAGCATAGAAAAAGAAGATTGCAATCTTTTAGTTGCATTTTGATAACAGAGTCTTATTTGCTTAAAACATGTTAAGCAAATCACATTAGAGTGATTCTACAAACAAGATAATTATTGAAATTTTGAAGAAAGTCAAGAATGCATCCTATCCCTTTTGTTTAGTTTTATATGCAAGAGCTCTGGATATGATGTGAATCTATAATTTCTTTATCTTCCTTCCTCAGGTTTATATAAATTGTAGGCTAATTTCATAGAATAGGAAATAATAAAATCCATGATCTTTAGTGGAATTATACATATTCCTTTCCCTCCAAAAGGATGTTGTTTAGTAAGAAAGTTCTATAGTGGTTTATACCTTAGGTTCCAGTGGAAATAAAGACTGTGTGTGTGTGTATTTAAGTCATAGACTTTCTTCGTCATGCATTTTTGTTGCCTTTAGCAGAAGGTCAAAAGCAAATTACAGAATCATAGACATTCTTAGATGGTACTTTGGTATCAGGCTTCCTTCCTTTCTTTTGCTTCCCAAAATACAAGGATCAAAAATATTCTTAGCAATTATTGAAAAGAAATAGAGTTGAGTCCTCCACCTTTTCCTGAAGAGGTCCTCCCTTTGATTCAATTTAAGTTTAGCCTGCTATTATAAGTAGCCATTAAACTTAATGCAGGTTATATTCCCTAGAAGCAAAAAATTGCTACTAGTGATAATGTAAGTCATACTGATTTTCCCAAAACATACATTACAATTAGAGTTATCATTCTTGTTCAGATTTTGATGTCTAACTTTGCTTTTGAAAAATACAACTTTCAACAAATACTGCATTAGGTATACGTAATGGGCACGTTTTTATTTGTAATGTTTCTCTAATAATAAAGTTTCTTTTAAAAAATAAATGGATCTCTATCATAAACAGGAAGTGCACTAATCATTCAGTAAAAATTTGAATGTTTCTAAATGCCATGGAGAATGTAAAGATGACCCTTCAGGATCTTGTTATTTAGTATCATGAGAACCATACCTCTGTAAACGTAAAAAAGGTAGTGTCATAAGAGAGGTATAAAGTCGTGTGGGCCACCAGAGTATAGAAAAATTGTTTCTGGCTACAAGAATTAGAGACTTCACTAGATGCATGAGCTGGGCTCTTAAAGAATGAAGAAGAACATCATCTACCAGGACAGATCAGTGTCATTGATTTGGAGTCAGA